ATACATTTTATCTAAAGAAGAATTCAATGATTCATTTACCATATTTATTAACCAAATAAATTAAGAATAAGAAAATAAAAAAAGAATCTACTTCTAAATATTATATTTTAAATTATTAAATATACTATTTCTAAGTATTTTGTATGATTTTATATAATCAAAATATACTCAGTTTTCATCCTTTCATATTTGTGAATGTCTTTTGAAATAAGAAATTATCCTAAAATTAATCACAATTAATTGAATAATAATAGATAGTGGTCTTCTATATAAAAAAAACATGATAAATTTGATATTCTTTAAGTTTATTATTATTTCAATTTAAATGAATTGTGAAAGAATGGTTACCGGTATGAATGGTATGAATCAATAAGATTCTAAAGGAAATAATACTTAAGGCTAAAAAGGTAAGAAACAACAAGAAGTGATTTAGAATGCTGTTAAGGATTCTTAAAAGAATTAGACAAACAAAAAAAAATGAAATTTAAATATATTATTTATGTCATATATATTTATATAGAATCTTAAAAAAGAATGTATTTTTAATAAATTAGGTCATATTTAATTGAAACATAATTCAATAACAAAATTTAAATGTGAAAAAATGGTTATTCTTAAAAATATATTAAATTTCAAATATTATTCAAATATTCTAAATGGCTATATGGTGTAATGATATTCAAAAAATAGAATAAGCTTTTGTTAAATATTATTAAACATTTACTAATTGAAACATAAATTAAATCATTTTTATTTTATCCATTTTCTCACTTAGATCAATTTTGAATGGTCATCCCAAGTTATCAGATATTCACCATTATCACTTAGTGTTCCATATACAGAAGTAACTTCAAACTTGATAATTTAATTTATTTTAAAATCCATAACTTTTTTATCTATGCATAATATAAGAAATTACTTTAATTTCTTTAAACTTTGAATATTGAAACATCGTTCATATTTTTAAGTAATACAATATTCTTATTATTATTATATAATGCAGGAAATAAGTTATCATCTGGTTCAGCCTCTTCATCAGAAGGGTTTTTATTTTTAGTAATATATTCTCCTTTTTTATTAAGTGTATAAATATAAAAAAAATTTTAATATTCAGGTTGAAAAATAAATGTTTCATTATTGATAAAGCACACTCTTAAACCAAAAGTTTAATGTTCTATTTTTTAATCCAAAATCCATTTAGAATTACAATATTTAAACACCATAATGTAATTAGAACTTAATGATATCAATTTAACACCAGATTCAAGCATAGATAAAGACCAAATTGGAGAATAATTACCTTCTATACTTTTTTCAACAATCCATTAAGATTTCTTCTTAATCCAAAATTTGATAGTTTCATCATGACTGCCACTCACTATCCAATTTTCTTAATTAGGCTCAATTGCTAAACATAATATTTCTTCATTATGTTAACTTAATTTTTATATGTACTTTGAACTTGATAATAAATTTTTAGACCATACAATAATACTATTATCAAAGGAACTTGAAATGATATTTTAACTTCTTTTTAAATAATTTAAACTGCTTATTGTTTCCTTATGTTTTTTAAATTATCTCAAATATTTTAATGTTCCATCACTAAAAGAATAAATTTCTAATGAATTCTAAAATCCTACAAATAAGAGTGTATTTGTAGTATTAAAGGCAAAAGATTGACATTATTATTCCCTTTTAATTTAACACCCGATTGGCTCAAAATTGTATATCTATGAATTTGATTGCTTTTATTTAGACATTAATTTAATTATTAGAATATAATTATTATCATAAATTCTTTATTAAATGAAGTAAATGGCATTTCTTATATATGTTGGATATTTATGTTTTAAAAAATCTTAGTTACTAAATCCTAAGTTATCAATTGGGGGGTTGACAATTTTTGAAATGATAAATTTTTTTATAAAAAATCTAACACATTGTAAACGATTTTTCACATTGTTTTTAAGGGATAAGTTTTTTATCCTATTATAGCATAATTATATTGTAGTCTTGTTTTAAGAATATTTTTATACGTATTTATAGATATTATTTATAATTACCTTATTCATTAAGAGAAAAAAATGTTAATTTTGTTTATTTTTTTGTTTTCATAAGGGTAATTTCAATATAAATATTAATGTATTTTAATATATTTTAACTTATTTCAGACTTATATAAAATATTAAAATTAATCAATAGTCACTTCCTATTTAATTATGATTTCTTTCTTTTTTTTATTGATATTTTTTATCAACATAACACTATAAAATATAATTTAATTAAAAGATAAGTAACTTTTTCTAGTTCTGAATTTTGTTCTGTATAAAAATAAAAAAAAAAGAATGAAAAATTATAAAAATTAATTTATGAATATGTATCGAATTATACAAATACATTAAATGTAATTAACATTAATTAAGTAAGATTTATTTCAAAATATTACTTTATCAATTTACTCATTTACTAATATTTTTGATCTCAACTTCTAAATATCAAATACTACTCCTACTATTATTTACAAAAGTGTTTTGAAAAATTACATCTCTTGATTATAAGTTTTTGTTAGTTTTTATTGATATCTGATTATTTATTAAGTATAAAGAAAATAAATATTTACTCTTAAATTCTAATAAATTTTAATTTAAGATTAGAAGTATCATTAAAATTACAAAATGTTAATAGTTTCGACTACTAGATTAAATGAAAATAAAGATTACCTTACCCTATTTAATTTCATACTTAATGAAAATAGCTATTCATTCCATAATTAATTCTTGTTTATTTTGAAAGTTTAGAAAACTAAAATATTTTCTTTTTGATACTCACTATTGAATTTCATTATAAAGGTAATTTAAGAAAAGAGATTTTCCAATGTTTCTAAATCAATCATTATTAAGTGAAATTAATATTTAAATCAATGAATTTAATTTGTAAGTTATTTTCATATTATATTTTAGAACGAAAGAAGTATAAATATATATTAAATATCAATAAATATANAAATTTTTTTATAAAAAATCTAACACATTGTAAACGATTTTTCACATTGTTTTTAAGGGATAAGTTTTTTATCCTATTATAGCATAATTATATTGTAGTCTTGTTTTAAGAATATTTTTATACGTATTTATAGATATTATTTATAATTACCTTATTCATTAAGAGAAAAAAATGTTAATTTTGTTTATTTTTTTGTTTTCATAAGGGTAATTTCAATATAAATATTAATGTATTTTAATATATTTTAACTTATTTCAGACTTATATAAAATATTAAAATTAATCAATAGTCACTTCCTATTTAATTATGATTTCTTTCTTTTTTTTATTGATATTTTTTATCAACATAACACTATAAAATATAATTTAATTAAAAGATAAGTAACTTTTTCTAGTTCTGAATTTTGTTCTGTATAAAAATAAAAAAAAAAGAATGAAAAATTATAAAAATTAATTTATGAATATGTATCGAATTATACAAATACATTAAATGTAATTAACATTAATTAAGTAAGATTTATTTCAAAATATTACTTTATCAATTTACTCATTTACTAATATTTTTGATCTCAACTTCTAAATATCAAATACTACTCCTACTATTATTTACAAAAGTGTTTTGAAAAATTACATCTCTTGATTATAAGTTTTTGTTAGTTTTTATTGATATCTGATTATTTATTAAGTATAAAGAAAATAAATATTTACTCTTAAATTCTAATAAATTTTAATTTAAGATTAGAAGTATCATTAAAATTACAAAATGTTAATAGTTTCGACTACTAGATTAAATGAAAATAAAGATTACCTTACCCTATTTAATTTCATACTTAATGAAAATAGCTATTCATTCCATAATTAATTCTTGTTTATTTTGAAAGTTTAGAAAACTAAAATATTTTCTTTTTGATACTCACTATTGAATTTCATTATAAAGGTAATTTAAGAAAAGAGATTTTCCAATGTTTCTAAATCAATCATTATTAAGTGAAATTAATATTTAAATCAATGAATTTAATTTGTAAGTTATTTTCATATTATATTTTAGAACGAAAGAAGTATAAATATATATTAAATATCAATAAATATATTTAATAAATTATTACTTTTTATAAATCCATATTTAAATCTAATAATTAAATTAGAATACACTTGAATTTCTTCTATTTAGTCTTCCACGTTACTTTAGAGCTTTATAACTTATATTTGCAAATATATATGTTAAATGGAAAAATAAAAGCATATCATATTTTACAAATTGATTATAACAAAAAACGTTGCTACCTTTTAACAGACAATAATAAACCATTATGCATAAATTTTATCAATAATAATCATTATCATCTTTAAAATTCAAAATCAATTCTGTTGATTTGTATACTACTTGATCATTTAATTTTGTTTCAGTTAATTAAAATCAATAACATCATTCTATTAATTTTCTTAAATATACAACTAGGTTGTTTTAAAATTTATACATTTCATTTCCTAATTAAGCTTTATATAGATTTAAACTTATGTTAGTTTTTCGATTTATAATAATTAACACAGAAACACGTATATTTGTTTATAATTTTCTTCCAAAATTTAATATAAATAATCAATCTTCCCTCAATTGATAAGACAAGGCATTGATATCAATATTTGATTATAAATGCATTTTTAATTTCACCTTTTTTATTTATTTATTTGTTAATATTAATTTTTAAGATGTCTACATCTTTGTTGAAGTTAAGCAATCCTTTTTCAAATCTATTCCTAAATATTCTTACTTTTGTCTGATTTGCTCAAAAGAAGTAGAATCAATTGAAAAGGAATTTCAAATTGAAGAAAATTAACATCTCATCTCATATGATCATCTTTAAACTATAAGAGAAATTATTTCCTAATAATAAGTAAATTTTCATTCAGAATATTAACAATAAGAAAGGAAAAAATTATTTGACTTTTAAATTGCAAGAGAATTAAATTAGACAGGTATAGCAGTCTATTTGGGTTTATTCTAGGTTTAAATCTATAATTTAAAAATTGCCTATCCATTATTAAAGATCTCCTTTCTAAAAAGAAAACGACTTAAAAAAGAATATATCATTATTTTAAAAAGGTTTTATTGATTACTTTTTGAACAATAGAAAAATTAAATTTCAGATTAATCAATAGTGTAATTTTTAAATGTGAAAAATATAAACATGACAGTGTTTCAGGTACTTTTATATTTTAAATAAAAGGCTATCAAATAAGTAGTGATACCAAACGAAAAATTTAATTCAAAAAAGGGAGCAATTAAACCTAAATTATTGCTAAAAAATCAATACTATATTGTTTATAGTTTATGAGAATATTACTAGAACAAAATTATATTAGAGTTGCATTTCTTGTGCTAATTCTATTTGAGTTAGATTTAACACTGAATGGCCTTCATCAATTAAGATTTGTAGATGTATTATAAAAAAAACTTATAAATCCATAAATAATAATGGTTATTAAAATGGTATTCAAAAAATCTACAAAACTTTAGAATTAGCTATTAAATTAACTTTAGATTTTTTGTCGGATTAATAAAATTCAAATATCATTCCTTCAATTAAAAAGATAAGGGAGATTTATCAATTAGAATTAAATTTTCAATGGTTTATTTGTTTTCATCATATAAAAATTTTCTTATTTGTAAGAATAATAAGATCTAAATGGGTAGAAAGAAGTGATGATTATATGAGTATAGAATCTAACTAGTTTGACTTATTAGTTTAGTTAAATAACTTATAAAAGAGAATATGTTTTGGGTTAAAAAAAGGAAAATGGAATAACATTAATAATGACTAATATTTGTAACATTTATATCATTAAAATATCTGTTATATAGTGATGATGGATCACATGATTATTAAGATTAAAGAATGGTATTTGGAAAGAATTAAGTCATAATTTCTATAACTATATAAATATTATAAAAAAATAGTTTTAGTTTAGTCATCTATTAATATAAGTATGGTTTAAAATTTGGTTAATAGTATGTATGTTTTAAATAACATTCATATTAAAATTGGGATAAAAAGAATAAGAAAGTTGGAAGATGGATTGACCTTAGATATAAATTATAACAAAATTACTTTGAATATAATGAAAATCCAATAAAAATGTATTGAAATATGATAACATCATTTATATATATATTTGTTATTTATTATTATCAAGTTTAATTGTTAAAATACTTATAAATTAAAAATTAATATATAAAATTAGAGATTATTACATCAAATTAAGTATAGAAGTATTTATGTTCATCTAATTTTATTTTTTCTTATTCATGTAAGTCTAATAAACATTTTAATAATTATTGATAATTTAAAATAGCTTAAGGATGTTAATTCTAAACTAAACTCAAAACTTTATTAATATTCAGCATATCAAGACGAGTCTTATAAATATATGATTAATTACTTGATTAAAAAATCTCTTTATATTTTGTGTACTTCCTCTAATTCAATCCTATGAATTAATTCAAAAATTGCTTATTACAAGATAAGATTAAATTGATCACTTGATTAATTTGTATAATGAAAACTAATATCTTCATTTTCACTTTATAAGTTTATTTCTACTTTAGATGTTCCTTTGATAATAATCTTAGATTTTATGTCTTAATTTTCTAAATAGTTATTTTATTAAATCATTTAATCTTGAAAGCTTAGCATATCAGATTCTTCATTAATAGGATTGATCTTTATCAATTATTCTTATTTTTTAGTTTTTCAGATGATTATATTAAACATTTAATATTATTTTGGATTTGATTTTCTATTAACTCTTCTTTTGATACTATATGGATTTATACATTAAGCATCTTTTAACACATTCTCTAATTGCTTATTATTCTTAATTCTAATTTAGTTATTAAATTTAATTATTAGAAGTAAGTATATAATCATTAACTGAAATATATTCTAAAGTAGATTTAACATCACCATTATTACCTCTCACTTTTATAATTTAATTATGTATTTCTAATTATTTTTATATTTTTCATGTTATGGCCAAATCCAACATAATTATAAATCACATTTATTAGGATATTTCTTACTTGAATCAATTTAGTTATTTTTAACATCCATAACATGTTCATTATTATGATTACTCTCATTATTAATTGTTGATTATTCTTTATCATATTTGAGATTATCATTAAAATTCTATAGTTATATAGTTAGACATCTAAACTATTTTGTATTATTTTTGAATTAAAGATATTGTTTATTGTTCTTTTTTATTTCTTAATTTATTCTTTTACTTAACTTCGCCATAAACCTGTTCTTTTCTTCATCCTATCTATCATATTAGTTGAAAAACAAGATGAATTATGATTAATCATTTAAAGTTAACTATCTCAATCAAATTAACGGCAATTCCAGGCCAACCAAGAATGGTAATACATTTTTGAATAATGTATATTGTTATTTTGAATACAATATAAATTATAACTTCAAGATAGCAAAGATCAAAAAAAAAATCGAATAATATA